CAAGATTTGAACAGATACTTAACCAAGGAGGAACAGAGGTGCCAAATAAGCACTTAAAATCATTAGGTTATAAAAGACTAAATCTTCTATAACAAGAAACCAATACTGTCAAAACCTAATGAGTCAAGAAGTTACAAAATAAACATATTACACAGAATTATAGAGGTAAATAGCTAAACAACTTTAAGGTGATTTTTACCGCTGGCTCTAAGGGAAGAGGCAGTGAAGGCTGTTATTTCCCATTGTAACACTAAATGGCTTTCTATAAGATGATGAAATGTACGGCTACATACACAAATATATACATATTTTTAAAGGGGAGTATGATTACCCTGGTAGGTGTGGCTCAGTAAGATGGAGCATCATTCCGTGTACCAAAAGGTGGCAGGTATGATTCCCGGTCAGGGCACATACCCAGGATGTTGGTTTGATCCCCAGTTAGGACACATGAGGAGGCAACCGATTGATATTTCTCTCTTACTTCAATGTTTCTCTCTATCTACCTACTTATCTCTCCCTTCCTCTCTCTAAAAGCAATAAAATAAATTTTTTTTAAAATGCTGAATTATATCTAGAAAGCCAATGAAGGAAATAAAATAAAACACACAAAAAAAATATTTGATTAACTCAAAAGCAGAAAAAAAGGAACAGAGAAACAAAAAAATAGGTAACACAAATAAAAAGGAAATAGCAAAATAGCTGACCTAAATACATCAATATTGATAATTACATTAAATATAAACGGACTATACACTTCAAGATAAAAGCAGAGATTGTCAAAGTGAATAAAAAAGCAAGATCTAGTTTATGCCAATCTATAAGAGACGCATTTAAATACAAACATTCAAATAGTTTGAAAGTAAATGGGTAGAAAAAGATATAGCAACTGAACAGTAACACACAAGAAAACTGGAGTGGCTATATTATTGTAGAAAATAATGTAAAAATAAATTAATGTCAAATAAAAAATACTTCACTGAATAGTACTAGAGACAAAGGAATAATTCACAATGATCAATCAATTCAATAAGAGGAAAAAGTAATCCCATATGTGTATATACCTAATACAGAGCATCAAAATTCATGAAGTATAAACATAAGAAATAATAGACAAATCCACAATTATACTTAAAAATTTCAATACTCCTCTCTCAAGAACCAGTAGACAAAAAATCAGAAGGATATAGAAAATCTCAGTGATGCTATAAACCACCTTAACCTAATTGATATTTATAAAACATACACTCAACAAATACAGAATACACATTTTTTTCAAGTGATGAAAATTCAGCAAGGTAGACTAGATGATGTGCCATAAAACAAGTCCCAATAGATCTGAAAAGATTAAAACCTTACAGAGGCTATTCTCTAAACCACAAAGGAATTAGAAACAAGGAATAAAACATTAGGCAAATCTCAAAATCTGTATACTAAATGACTCCCTTTTGAATAACACATGGATAAAATTAGAAATCACAAAGAAAATTAGAACATATTTTGATAACTGATAATGAAAATATAACATATTGAAATCTATAATAGCTAAAGTAATGCAGAGTGGAAAATTTATAGCCAATGATACATACCCCATCTTAGAAAGCTAGAAAAAAAAGAGTAAACCCAAAAGTAGAAAATTAGATTTCATAAAAATTTTTAATTTTCATTCTCCAAAACACACAACTAATAAAATAATAAAGCAAGCCACAGATTGGGAGAAAATATTTGCAATACACATATTTGACAAAGGGCTTGTATCCAGCAAATGTATTAAAAAACTCACACAAGCCCTAACCAGTTTAGCTCAGTGGATAGAGCATCGGCCTGCGGACTGAAGGGTCCCAGCTTCAATTCCAGTCAAGGGCATGTACCTTGGTTGTGGGCACATCCCCAGTAGGGAATGTGCAGGAGGCAACTGATCGATGTTTCTTTTCTCATCAATGTTTCTAACTCTCTATCCCTCTCCCTCTCCCTTCTCTCTGTAAAAATCAATAAAATATATTTTTTTAAAAAAAAAGAAAAGAAAAACAATAAAAATGGGCAAAATATCTAAAAAGATAATAAAAAATACATTAATGGCCAGCACACACATGAAAATATGTTCCATGTCTTTATCAAGAAAAACAAATTGAAAATATAAATGAATAGATCAAAAAAGGAGCAAAGATTAAAAAAACAAACAAACAGCTACATACTACTTATAAGAGACACACATATAAGAAAACAACCCTAGCTGGTTTGGCTCAGTGGACAGAGCATCAGCCTATGGACTAAAGGGTCCTGGGTTCAATTCCGGTCAAGGGCACATGCCCAGGTTGCGGGCTCAGTTCCCAGTAGGGTTTGTGCAGGAGACAGTCAATCAATGATTCTTATCATTGATGTTTCAATCTCTCCCTCTCCCTTCCTCTTTGAAATCAATAAAAATATATTTTAAAAAGAAAAATATTTAAAAGAAAACAGAAAGCTTGAAAATAAAAGAATGGAAAAAATATACCATGTAAGCACTAATCAAAAGAAAGCTGTCATAACAATAGTAATAAAGGAAAAAGTGGACATTAGATAAGAAGCATTAGTAGAGACCAGAAAGACTTCATCTTGATAAAAGGATCAATCCAGCCTGGCCGATGTGGCTCAGTGATTGACATCGACCCATGAACCAGAAAGTCATGGTTTAATTCCCAATCAGGGCACATGATGGGGTTGTGGAACTGATCCCCAGTAGAGGGCATGCAGGAAGAAGCCAATCAATGTTTCGGTCTTATCACTGACTAGAGGCCTGGTGCACAAAAATTCATGCACTCGGGAGGCGGGTCCCTCAGCCCGGCCCGTGCCCTCTTGCAGTCTGGGACCCCTCAGGGGATATCTGACTGACAGCTTAGGCCCACTACCTGGCAGCCTGGGAGCCCTCAGGGGATGTCCACCTGCTGGCTTAGGCCTGATCCCCCAGGGATCAGGCCTAAGCTGGCAGTCAGATATCCCTCTGGCAGCCCAGGAGCCCCTGGGGAGTGGGCCTAAGCCAGTAGTCGAATACTCTTAGCACTGCAGCAGAGGCGAGAGAGACTCCTGCCACTGCCGCTGTGCTGGCCAACCATGAGCTGGCTTCTGGCTGAGCAGTGCTCCCACTGTGGAAGCACACTGACCACCAGGGGGCAGCTCCTGTGTTGAGCGTCTGTGCACGTGATAGCAACAGGTTGTTCCCAGTCATTCCACCGATAGGGTCAATTTGCATATTATCCTTTTATTATAAAGGGACTTTCTCTCCCTATCTCTTCCTCTCTGAAAATCAATAAAAATATATTTTTAAAATATATATGTGTGTGTGTGTATGGACTAGAAGTGAAAAATAAAGCAGTCATTATTTGCAGACAAGATAACTGTGTATATGTAAAATCTAAAAGAATCTACATACTATTAGAATTAAGTGAAGTTAGCAAGGTTTCTGGATAGAAGGTTAATTATGAAAACAAACTGTATTTCTCAATATAAGCAAGCTTATTTTTTTAAATGACACTGTTTATAACATCAAAAAATGTCCTATACACACACAAAAAAAAATCTCAAAACATCACTGAGAGAAATTACAGAATATTTAAATAAATGGATAAATATATCATTCGTGGATTGGAAGACTCAATACTGATGACACTAGTCAACTTTCCCCAAACGGACCTATATTTAATGTACACAACTCCAAACAAAATCCCAGGCATGTTTTTGTAAAGGGGTGTAATTTGATAAGCTGATTATGAAATGTATATGGAAAAACAAAAGACTAAAAATAACAAGTCAATCTTGTAGAACAACACTGGAGGACAGTTCTCAGATCTTAAGACTAATTACAAAGCTACAGAGATGGTGTCATTTGGTTCAAAAATAAATAAAAGGCCAATGGAATAGAATAGGGCGTCCAGAAACAAACTTCCACATAGTCTCCCAAATTTATGACAGAGACACTGAAGTACAGTGAAGAAAAATGACTCTTAGATAAACAGTGCTATCCATATGAGGGAAAATATCTTAACTTCTTTCTATATATTATATATTAAAAAATAACAAAACAATAGAGCTTCTTGAAATACAGCAGGAACAATTCATTGAGATGGGAAAAGATTTCTCAACTAGAACACACTTACCTAAAAGGGAAATTTCATAAACTGTCATACATTAGTTTTAGGAAAATCGTGAGATAGCCAATCTGTGGACAATGATTTGGGAACCTCTTCATCTACCCATCTGATAATTTACTTAATTCTTCTTATGTAACATCTAAAAAACTGCTTTTGCTTTTGTGAATGAGTAATATCTTGATTTATGAAATTAAATCCATAAAACTCAAAATGAGAAGTTCAAATAATAATGATTTTTAATAGTTAGGACTTTTAATAACTATCGAAAACTCGAAGAATCAAATACATTTTGAATTTAATATATGAAGTAGCATTGCTTTCACTCATTTTAAAAAGTTCAGGTTTACTCCTAATTAAATCCTACTACTGCTAATACTCAGTTACCACAGGTGATTAAAAACAGCAACCCAGCGTCAAGTGCCCTGTTAAGTAGGCATGAACAAAGCTAACCTAAATCAGGGTAAACACCCAGAGCTGCAGTCTATGGAGAGTAAAAATAAGCCATCTGCTATAACAAAAGTAATCTGAAAGATACAAAGTAGTAAGTCTTCTCTTCTATCGTTTATTTTAATGGTGAAAATTCAGTTTGCTCAGCCGGGATCATAGCTACAATATGATAAACCTTTCTCCCAGTCTGGAAAAACAGCTACACATCATCTTATTTATTCAAAAAGCCACCTTAGATCCACAAAATAAGGGAAAAGAGTATAATAAAGAGAACGTTAGCTTCCAGACGGTGCAGGTTTAAAATGGTGTTAATGAAAAACTGAATACAATCTCTCATTCACTGTCCATGCCAAACTTCATTAAGACAATACACATTTATCTTTTACTGTGTGAAGGACACTGTGTATTCTCAACTGCTGAACATTTTACCTTTGCAGCAAGCCGTAGTCCAATTTTGTCAGCTTCAGCCTCCAGTGTTCTACTGTATGGTCTACTGAACAAATACTAAGAAGAAATAGAAAAGAAAAGCTCCACTCAGGTTATTTCACAGCAAAATGAAACTTTTAAAGTTAATCATGGAGTACCTAGAATCAAGTTTTTATACTCTCCACTTATTAACATTTAAAGAACACCTTGGCATAAAACATACAGTGCAGCCTTTATTTCCTCCACCAGAGATTAATATTTTTAAAACATAGAAAGAATAAAAACAAAATCATGCCTACAAACTTCTGAAGAGTCTATTGTATCACACAGAGTACTTTTTACCCATTTATAATCTCCACCTACTATGTGGAAGATTCCCTAAGAAAGCTTATTGATGCAGCCTTTTATTATGGCCAAGGAATAGTTTGATCTTGGAGTTTTAAAAGAAAGTTGAAAAAGTATAGCCATATAATAGCCAGTGACACTACCAGAGGATTTATTTCAGTTGGAAAATTAACCATATAGCAGAATGTTCTTTCTTTGACGAACTATCTTAATTTCCTTTTTTTCTAGGTATTGATTAGTTAGGAAAATGAAATTTTCTTCCAACCTCAATTAAAAAATGCAAATAGATATTGTAACTTTAATTTTCCTAATTACTTGTATTTATGTGAATGCTTTCCAGTTAAATTCTCATTTTCAGTAAGCACTAAAACTTTGCAGGAGATGGATCAATAGGCAGAACTTTTGAGAAAAAAAGCTATTAATTGGGAAAGCAATTTTTCAGAAGTACATGTCAGTGAGAGCTAGAAATAATATAATCAATCTGACTCACAGTATGTGACCATTGTATATTACTTCCTTCCTCCTCGGTAATGTCTGTTTTAGGTAGCTAAACTGTGTCATACAGTGTCTTCACTCTCTACAATTCATCTCCAGGTGTCCCATCAAGTCCACTGATAGTATAACTAATTAAAAACACTGGCTTTCAAAGGAGACAAAATCAGGTTCAAGTCCACATGCTGACACTTTTTAACTGTTCACCCTGGGCTAATTATTTAACACATCTAAGCTCAGTAGCATCACATGTTGCAGACAGGATAAAATGAGCAAACAATGATAATAGCTCCTATTTATTGGGTCCTTACTCTGTGCCGGGCACTGTGCTAAATGCTTTATATCAGTGGTTCCTAAGGGATGTAACTGTGTCCCCTGGGGACATTTGGAAGTATCTGTAGTCAGTTTTGATTGTCTGGGGGAGTAGGACGGGGAGGGTGGGAAGGAAGAATGTTACTGGCATCTAGTGGGTAGAGGCCAGATGTTTAGAGGCAGCTAGATGCTTAAAGGCTCCTAAACACCCTGCAGTGCACAGAACAACTCTCCAAAAAGAATTTTTTCAGTCTAACCCTAGCTGGTTTGGCTCAGTGGATAGAGCATCAGCCTTCAGACTGAAGCATCCCAGGTTCAATTTGGTCAAGAACACATGCCCAGGTTGCAGGCTCGATCCCCAGTAGGGGATGTGAAGGATGCAGCCAATCAATGATTCTCTCTCATCATTGATGTTTCTCTCTCCCTCCCTCCCTCTCCCTTTTTCCCTGAAATCAATAAAAATATTTTTTTTTAAAAGCATTATCCAGTCTAAAAATATCAATAGGGCTGGGGTTACATTGAGAAATCCTGCTTAAAATGTATCATTCATTTCACAACAATGTTTTGAATTAGCCACTATTATTACTTCAATTCACAAATGAAGAAATTGAGACCTATATAAGTAAAGTAACCTGCCCAGGTTCTATAGAGTTTAGATCTAAAGAGTCTAAATTCATCTGATCAGAGCCTGTATTCTTAACCCCTGTACATAATTCATCTGTATTGTTTATCTTAGTGCCTAACATATGGTAAGCATTTCATAAGTTAGCTACTATAATTATTATTAATAACTCTCAAAACCCTGCCTCGTTGCACTCATTGAGGGCTGCTACACTATACCCAAATCTTTAAGATCACAAACATAGAGCTCCCCAGTGGTTAAGTGAGGGCCCTTCCTTCTTCCTTCTTCTCTTCCTTTCTCCTGCAGATAAATGTCGGCAATTCCCCTTCCGTAGTGACTTCACTATACTCATTCTTCTCACTCTCTAATTACAACAGGCAAGCTTTCTAGAAATATTTCCTTATCACTGAAGTTTGGGGAACACTTGATTTAGGGGGACAAGGGTTCCAAGAGAAGTAATTCCTACTTTATTTTGTTTAATTCTTAAATTAAAGAATTATACTGAAGTAGCAGAATTCATCAAGTATTTCAAAAAAGAAATAGCTACAAGTTATCTTTATGACCAAATCTTCTGATTCCATTACGGAAAAGGCTATCTATTGATTGATAGCGAAAAAACTAAATTAACTCCTTTGACTTCCCAGCACATCATAACAGAAATAAAATTCAAAAGATGAGACCCTATAACCTAAGCAATAACCATTCCTTCTTTTTCTTTTTAAGAACATTTATTTCAATATAAATGAGCCAAATGATATGGTAACACTGAATAAAAGACTTAGTTATCCAATTTCTAAAGCAATTTGTCTCAAAGAATTTTACACATTAGATTGAAACAGCACCCAGATGGCACTCTGATGGGTGCTCCACAAATCATTAAATAGACAAATAACAGATTGTTCCTAAATAACCAAACCTCCCAGGACAAGAAGAAAAATTTGAAAAAAAAAAAAAGATGTAAAATAAAATAATTAATCATAGTTAACAAAGCAATTATCAGGATTGCGAAACCTACTTTCAATATTGCTATGTTTTGAACAAAATGAGAGACAACACATCTTATGAGATGATTATCACTATACATAAGTACTAAAACAAAAGTTAACAAACACCTAACAGGACTGTCCTTTCAGTATTTTCTAGGCAATGTTAGTTTAACTAGGAGTGAGGAGGTAAGGGTGATAAAGTAGCTCAGCCAACCCTGTGCCCATAGAAGTTTACAGCTTTTAAGAGCTCTCCATGAAAACCCAAATATTGGGGGGGGTGGGGGGGGGGCAGAGAATCATCCAGTGGGTACACCACAGTCAATATGAGAAACGAAAGTGGAAAGTTTGAAGGTAAAACCAAAAGTGGCTAAGCTCTTCCAATCCATCTATTTCCATCATTTGAGAGAATATCCCCCCAAAATGAGAAAACAATAAAACACCAAATTAGTCCCCAGATTTCATGACAATATGTTAAAACATCTCTGACATTTGTTGCTTTACAGTAACATTAAAATATCCTCACCACAGGCCATTAGAAATTCAAGTTATTGTCTCAGACTTACCTCTTTTAATGTAGACTGCAACCACTGGCCCACAATTGCCAAGCTATCTCGAGGACAAACAGCCCAAATCATTGTGAGGAAAATTAGACCTAGGAAATCCAATAAATGAACCACGCTGGCCTTTTCTGCCTGTGAATAATCACAATAATGAAAATTACACTTAATAAATTGAGACAGCACATGCTTACATTTTCTAGTTCATCATGTATAATCACATTAAATAACTACTTACGTTTAAATGACCTTCAAAAACTAAGATTGTAAGGTGTTTTTTTTCTTCTGCGTGCTTTATCCTTTCCCAGTGTGCTTGTTCCATCCCTTGCTTACATACTTATATATTCACTAGAGGTCCAATGCACGCATTCATGCACCAGTGGGGTCCCTCAGCCTGGCCTGCGCCCTCTCACAATCCGGGAGCCCTCGGGGGATGTCGGGCTGCCAGTTTCAGCCCAATCCCCGGCAGTCCGACATCCCCGGAGGGGTGTAGTAGTGCGTGAAGTGGCAGGCAGCTGAGGAGGAGCCCAAGCCTGGGCCAGGTGCTGTGCAGCACTGCTCCCACTCATTTCCAGCCCACTGCACCTGCCACCACCGCTCTGTAAGCTCGCTGAGCAGCACTCCCGCTGTGGGAGCACACTGACCACCAGGGGGCAGCTCCTGTGTTGAGCGTCTGCCCCCTGGTGGTCAGTGCATGTCATAGCAACTGATGAACCAGCTTTGAGAGAGATTCATTCACTCACATATACTGAGCACTTACCATCACTCAGATACAATGACAGGTTCATTAATTTCTGGTTTCTTATATTAACAAGCATAGCAATCTTGTGAAATATGTACTATTATCCCTATTTTATAAAGAAACTAAGATGGAGCCAGGTTAAAAGTTGCCCCCAATTTACACAGCCATTAGAAAAAGGACAAGGAATCAAACCCAAGAAATTTTAGTTTCTAATATAGTTGCTAATTCTTTCTTAAAATCACGTAAATGTGTTTATTATACTTTTTGGACAGAGACTACACACTACCTAACACATGAAGCAGTTAAAACAAGGAACAATTCAGAAAAAAATTAGAAGTTTACTTTAAATAAAAATCTTTTGGCCATCATGACCTTATATATGAAGTATGATTCACTTTATATGGGTTTGCAATTTTGTAAGTTTGGTATTTCTCACCAGGAAACAGGATTCTCTGAATTTTTGTATTTACTTATAGCAATAATCACAAAAGGTTTTACTTAAAATAGTTGTTTTTAGTAATAATATTCAAAAGTCTAGTGCACAGTATTGTTCATTGTTAGACTGAAAACTGTATCTTCTTTAAAATACAAAAGCCTTAACTGCTATTTCCATTAGTCTGAGCACCATAAAGTTTGACTACAATCCAAAATATACTATCCCTCATGTGAAGGTATGTGACAATGTTGCTAATACTGACAATATAGAAATCATTACTTCAATGTATGAAACATGGCTAACAACTAAAAGTAACCACTAAAATATTTCTCTTTACAACATAATCTACCCTCATGAAGCATTCTTTATTTCATGATAAGAACTGTGGGTCAGCCATGGCCAGTGGTGCTAAATGGTTAGAGCACCAGCCCATACACCCAAAGGTCATGGGTTCAATTCCCAGTAAAGGGCATGTACAGCAGTTGCAGTGTCGATCCCCAGCCCCGGTTGAGGCACGCATGGGAGGCAACTAATGGATGTGTCTCTGTCACATCGATGTTTCTTCCTCTCTCCCTGTCGGTCTCCTTTGCCCTCTATCCCTCCCTTCCACTCTCACTAAAAAATAATGAAAAAAATATCTTCGGGTGAAGATTAAAAAAAGAAAAGCACCAAGGGTCATAAGAAACAATTATGGAATTATTTTAGCATGAAAGAGTAAAATTCCAAATGATGAAGTTGTTAGGAAAGAAAACAATCTCTGTTATTAATTACTGAAGAATATAATTGCGATTATACAAAAAAATCTATGTTACTTGTGGACTAAAGAATACAACATAAAAGGCTCCATCAAATCAAAATGGAGACTCCTAAAAGAGAAAACACAGTGTTGATCATGTCTAAGTCCTCTGCCAAAGTAATATTGGTAACTATTTTCTATTTCTAAGGCTGCTATTTACTTTTTATGTCTCATCTAATTATTGTTCTTGCACTGACAGAGATGGTAACAATATGCTGAATGCAGCATTGAATGAGATTCCAGGAAAACAATGCACTAAATATTAACAGCTTTTAAATGCTAAAAATGGCCAAAATTAATTGATTTTATAGTTCTGAAGCCATTTCTTGAAAGATAAAATCTATTTTAACTGCTCAGATTTATTCTTGTATATGTTTGTTTAAAGGACATATTTTTAAATTTTTTCCTACAACTCAGAAGAAATAAAGATTTTTGCTATTTGTGCTTCAGAAAAGCACAACTTTAGCCCACCTCATCTAATTAATACTCTAAGGAATAGGTAGAATTTGAGATGAATTTTGAAGAAATTAGTAATATTATCATTTCCATTTAAAGTTAATATTACTTGCATTTCCTATATAGCATTTCACAATCCTTTCACTATTTACCTTCACATTTTCAATTAAAGAGAATATACCCTCTCTCTGATTATGTGGACAAAAGAGCCATGCATATTTTTAAAAACTTTTATTAAAGTATAATTGGCATACAATATTATATTAGTTTCAAAGAGTGATTCAACGCTTATATACCTTATATATTATTCACCATAAGCTATTACAATATTTTGACTATATCCCTGTGCTGTATATCAATAAATAAATGGATTAAAAAAAGAGCCATGCATAACTTTTAATGAATAAAAATAAAATATGAGTAAATAAATATAAACTTCTATGGGCTCACACCAAGTCAAACAAACAGATGTGCCTTCACAGGAACATGAACCAATTTGAATTCTGTGACCTATAAGAAAGTGCTGCCAACAACCAGGTAACGGTGGTAAAAGGGAGCAACAATGGACTTGCAAACGGAAGACCTGGGTTAAAGTCCCAATTCTTCCATTTTGTCACATCAGTGATGTGACTTGGAGCCTTTTTAAACATTGGCTTCCTCATAGACAATATGGGATATTAAATACATACCTCATGAGGATGGCATTAAAATTGTGAATGAGAAGGTACGTGTTAAAAAGCTCAATAAACTGTAAAATGGCAAGGCATCATTATTATTTCTCTACATTAATTATATATGACATATCTTTCTAGACATTTTCAAAGATGCTCTAAGCTATCCTCAGAGAATGAATAAAAAAGCAAGAAAACCAATTTGCCCACTTAAATAGTACTATCACTTTCCTACAATTAATTTTCTGACTAGATTACCCGTATGTTAATAATTATAAAAAATTTTAAACCTAATTTGAAATAATTAGAGGTTGAGAATAATTACTTCTTAGTAAAAGAGACAGGTGATAAAAATAGTACTTAAGAGAAACACTAATTATTCAATATCAAATATTAAAGACCATAAAAACTCCCTAAATTAGACAATTATATTTTTTCAGGTAACAGAATAAGACAATAACTGAAAACTAAAATTCCATCCAAAAGAAAGAGAAAGAAAAAAAAGAAAACTGAAAAGATTCAGCTCTTTAAAAGATTCCACTTGCTAACTACAGTATTTCAACAACGGAGCACTCACTTTGGGTACTTACAGCATGCTCAAGTACTGCATGTGCTATTTCATGGCCCAGAATGAAGGCAAGTTGGTGCACATTAGCCACAGCATTGCAAAGCCCAGTGAAGACAAACACATGTCCATTCTGCACCATAAAGAAAATAATATAAGCAATTAGAACACCCTAAAAAAAAAACAAGAAAGTTAAATTTAACAATTAAAAATTAGGCTTGAGAACATTTACTTACCGGAAGCACAAAGGCATTTATATCTGGAGAATCAACCACATGAATGATCCACTTGATCTCGGAGATCCCTGGGATATCTTTATTGCATTCAATTAAATGATAAAACACTTCTTTAATGTTCAGGTACTGGGCATCTTTCTCAGTTAGCATATCATTTTTAAATTCTTCCATGTACTGAAAGGTTAGAAAGAAAATTTGTCTTTAAGAGTTTTAGCTTCACAAAATGTTTATATTGCTTCATGAGAGTTTATATGGTTACTTATTGTCGAACATTTTAATTTTTGATTATGTAAATATTCGCATATATTAAACACTCAAATTTCTCAAATTTGAATTTTCTTGCAAAGGCAATGTGGTTTCTCACAAATTGAATAAATTCTAATAACTAAAATTTTTCTCATAAATTAGTTCAAATAAAATCTTCACTCATCTTTTCTATTAGCCTATCCCAGTGGTCAGCAAACTGCAGCTCGCGAGCCACATGTGGCTCTTTGGCACCTTCAATGTGGCTCTTCCACAAAATACCACGTGCGGCGCACATGTACAGTGCGATTGAAACTTTGTGGCCCATGCGCAGAAGTTGGTATTTTGTGGAAGAGCCACACTCAAGGGGCCAAAGAGCCGCATGTGGCTTGCGAGCCACAGTTTACCAACCACTGGCCTATCCTATATAATAAAGAGCTAATATGCAAATGGGTCACACCATCACTGCTCAGACACTCAGCACTGGGGAGAGAGGAATGGGGAGCAAGGCTGCGGCCCAGGAGAGGGACGAGCCACCTGCCTCGTGGTCCTGGGCGCCAGCAGCTGCCCCTGCACCTCGGTAGAGGGGCAAGCCGTCTGCCCTGCGGTCCTGGGCACCAGCGGCTGGGGCTATGGCCCAGGAGAGGGACAAAACACCCGCCCCACGATCCTGGGCACCAATGGCTGCATCTGCACCTGCAGCCTGGGAGAGGGACAAGCCACCCACCCCGCAGTCCCAGGTGCCAGCATCTGTGGCTGCGGCAGCCAGGATGAAGCTGCCTGCCCATGGTCCCCTGCAGCTGTGGCCGACCCGGGTGACGCCAGCCAGGGGCCTGGGTACTTGTGGCCGGCCAGAGGGAGGGAAGCCGAGGTCCCGGGTGCCTGCGACCGGCCGGAGGAGGGAATCCTGGGTCCTGGGTGCGGGGTGAGGCAGAGGCGATTAGGGGTGATCAGGCCAGCAGGGGAGCAGTTAGGGGCAAACAGGCAGGCAGGCAGAGGCGGTTAGGGGCGATCAGGCAGGCAGGTGAGTGGTTAGGAGCCAGTGGTCCCAGATTGCGAGAGATTGTCGGACATCCCCCAAGGGGTCCTGGATTGGAGAGGGTGCAGGCCGGGCTGAGGGGACCCCCCCCCCTTATGCACTAATTTCATGCACCGGGCCTCTAGTAAGTAAATAAAATGCTTACGTATTATTTCTATTTTTATAAGTATTTTAGAAAACAAAATATTGCCTAGAGAACATAAAGATTTCATAAAAGAAAGGAAAATACAAAAGAAAATTATTTTCATAACCTCCTGAATATAAAAACACCTTATACTTAATAAGAAAGTTAAGCCTCTGCAAAAAAAAATCCCACATTTCATTAATTTTAAGTGTTTTATTCACACAGATTGAAAAGAAATTACTAAAATTTTTAGAACTACTGGGCATATCATTTTCTCTATATTATGCTGAGTGGTTAGGTATGAAAAAAACAGACACTGATGGGGTTCAAGCGAAGGTTTTAATACGGAACTACCCAAGGTGAAGCAGGCCCAAAGGACCCCCACTGAACTCCCAGAATTAAAGGGCCCCAAGCAAGCCTACTTTATTTATCCTGTTTGGAGACATTTTGAAAGCCAAGATTCAAAGCTTATAATGAGAAATCTGACCTGTAATTCCTTCAAGCAATAGTTAGGGAGATGAAACAAGATGAAGGCTGACAAAAAAAAAACTGTGTCCCTTGACTCAGCCCCTCACTGGGAACCCAAAGCCTTTACATCAGAGTAGGTAAAAGGGTCAAGAGTAGAGAAGTTTCTGGATCCCTTGACATGGAGCCCCACAAACGTGGGTACCAAAATCCATTGGTGAAGCCCTGTGTGAGCTACAATTAGATTGAGAGAACATAAAGGTTTTTCTCCCAGTGGAAGGGCTGATGGGATTATGAAAGCTGGAATGCTTAAACAGGCTTATGCAAATAACTCCTCTCCTTTACCTGAATGTTTGATGGGAAAAGATATTCTGTCTGCTTGGGGAATGCTTACCCTACCAAGTGTTGTAAACCCAAAACTGTTAATAAAATCAAAGTGGAGGCTAAAAAGAAAAGGAACCACGAATAAGGAAAAACTACTGCAATTACAGTACTTAGTAACAGCCCTCTAAGAACATGTGTTTGAATTTTCATACCAAGGAGGTATTAAATTTGTAGATTAAAAAATAAGAAATAAAGAAGAAAACATATGTATGTACATGTGTATCATTTTTTAAAGCTTCTTGGTAATGTGAATGGTAGAAGTTGGCCCATGTCAGTATTTCCCAAGCACTTTCCTCAAATTTGCCTCTGACTAGATTATATTCTAAGAAACATCTCAAATCTCTGTATAAATTCTACTAGGAAGGATGTTCCAGTGAAAAAAACATTGTTATTTCTCTTTTTAATGATACCTTTCCACTGGCAAACTCGGAAACTCAGTTGGAACAAAAGAGATAAAGTTCTAACCCTGACAGAGCTATCCAGGGGGGCTGTGAGACGTGAACACGGATTGAGCACACACGATGTACCGCTATGCACTGGCGACAGAAAGATGATCTGCCCTTCAGTGCTCACTAGTAGTGCAAAATGGTTAGCCACCTGAGTTATACTCTCGAAGTAGCCAAGGCTTCGAAATTCCAACTTTATTTTGCATTCAAAAACTATCATAAATTGTAAAAATTGATATTACAAAGGAAATCAAAAACCTTTTATTCTACTTTACTTTCAAGGTACAAAAAATCAAGACTATAGACCTAAATAGATATTAAGCACTGCTTTGTGTGCTGTACTAGAGAAAATCATAAACAAAACTGAGAGGGTCTCTGCCCCCATGGAGCTTACTCTAAGGAAGACAAATCAGCAAGTAAATAATCGTGTTATTAATTACGTTACCCAGGTGATAAGTGCTTTCCAGGAAAAGTATCATATGCAAAGAAAAAATAAAGTAGGAGAAATAACCCCAAGCACTGGGCACAAGTGCAAAGGCGCAGATTCCTAAGTCAGTCGATATGAAGGAGACCCCCTTGAGCCCAATGTAGCTCCTGCCTAACCCAGTTTGGATAATGAAGGAAAGCTCTCCAGAGAAAGTGGCATTTAAGCTGACCTGTGATAAAAAGGAGTTAGCTGGGTGAATGGGAGGAAAGCAAGATAGTCAGTAGGAATACTAAATACGAAAGGTCTGAGCCTTTGCTGGGGGCCAAGGG